CACACTCACTCACTCACTCACTCTCACACACACACACACACACACCTGCATTCTCCAGACTGCTCACAGAAGCCGTGATGACATCCAGCTCCACATTCTGGACCTAAACACACACACACACACACACACACACACACACGCATTACTGATGAATAAACACTCACCTGTTATTTATCATGTCTCACAACTCCAACACATAAAGTTGACTGACAGCAGTAGAAACGCAACAGATACCAATGACGCGCGTCAGTAAAGCAGTGAAATAAGAGCGAAATAGTGTAGATATTAATATCGATATTTCACCTTGAGCAGAAACAAGCACACAGAGGAGCAGCAGAAATGAGAACCCGAGCCGGAGAAATACATGCATCCTCCCGCAGCTCGATCCTCGATCCTCCGCTGATAATCGCCGTCACTTCATCACACAAACTTACCGCTGAGCGCGCGAGCAGGACGTCACTAAACTAAACTAGTCCTCCAGCTGCCTAACTCAGCTAAACTAGTCCTCCAGCTGCCTAACTCAGCGCGCTGGACACACAGAAACTCATCTGAGAAAGTGCGCGACGTTCAGAGCAAGCTGTGAATCCGACTGAAGCTCCGCGAGCTGCTGCTGCCTCAGCCTGACACACGGAGCTAAACTCCACCCATCACCTAACTACACACACAAATATCACTGAACTAAACTCCACCCGTCACCTAACTACACACACAAATATCACTGAACTAAACTCCACCCATCACCTAACTACACACACAAATATCACTGAACTAAACTCCACCCATCACCTAACTACACACACAAATATCACTGAACTAAACTCCACCCGTCACCTATCTACACACAAACATTACTGAACTAAACTCCACCCATCTCCTAACTACACACACAAATATCACTGAACTAAACTCCACCCATCACCTAACTACACACACAAATATCACTGAACTAAACTCCACCCGTCACCTATCTACACACAAACATTACTGAACTAAACTCCACCCATCTCCTAACTACACACACAAATATCACTGAACTAAACTCCACCCATCACCTAACTACACACACAAATATCACTGAACTAAACTCCACCCATCACCTAACTACACACACAAATATCACTGAACTAAACTCCACTGAACTAGACTCCACCCATCACCTAACTACAAGCACAAACACCACTGAACTAAACTCCACCCATCACCTAACTACACACACAAATATCACTGAACTAAACTCCACCCATCACCTAACTACACACACAAATATCACTGAACTAAACACAACTGAACTAAACTCCACCCATCATGTATCTACACACATAAACATCGCTGAACTAAACTCCACCCATCACCTAACTACACACACAAATATCACTGAACTAAACTCCACCCATCACCTAACTACACACACAAATATCACTGAACTAAACACAACTGAACTAAACTCCACCCATCATGTATCTACACACATAAACATCGCTGAACTAAACTCCACCCATCACCTATCTACACACACAATCACCACTGAACTAAACTCCACCCATCACCTAACTACACACATAAACATCGCTGAACTAAACTCCACCCATCACCTAACTACACACACAAACACCACTGAACTAAACTCCACCCATCACCTATCTACACACATAAACATCACTGAACTATACTCCATCAACACCATCAACTAACAAGCATCACTCATCACTAAATTGCAGCTATTTTAAACAAGCATCCAGAAAACTGGAGTTACACCTTCTGAACTGCCTGAACACTAAACATGGGCTCATATCATAATTCTCGTCTCTTTTCTATTGTATTTTTTCTTGTCAGTCATGATATAATTTTTTTCCTGCTCTCTGATCCTGACAATTAAAGAGGCTGTTTTTCCACTACAGCATGACTGTCTGACCTCCTACATGTCTAAAAATGAGCAACAGTACAGTATTCATACTATAGATGTGGAAAGACTTGTGAGCTATTCTGAGCACAGCCTTAGTTTTCATGCTGTTTTAGGATAGTGCAGAGAGTTTTTGTTTATAAAGGATTTTTCATGATATGTTTTGATGAATGATTTGATCCCTAGCTCGAAACGAGGGGATTTCAGCTGCACCTTTATGCCCAAAGGCCCGATTAAACGTTAGTTGGGCCTCTAAATCATCGGCTCTCACTGAAAGAATCGCTGTACTAGCAGGGAAATGATTTCTTGGCTCACGTCTTCAAGCGCAGGGCAGCGCGTCTCTATTCTCAGCATTGACCTACATGTCTCTTATCGCCGGCGCAGCTCCGGCACACGTCTGGATGTAAACACTGATAACCTCGCTCTCGCTGGAAAAACAGGCCGTCTGTGAAAAAGCTGCAATACATTAGGATGAAACCACGGGGGACTGTAAAAACAATTTAATCTTGTCGTAGAAGCAATATATCCAACTTCATTTGAGCATGTTTTATAACCAGCACAGTGGCTGCTATGAAATATCAGCTTTTCATTCAGCTTATTAAAGGACAGGGATCAGCCATTGATCTGCGGCACTTTGATCTCATTTGAGATCCGTTATTTTCCTCCATCCTGAGGGTCTCTCCGGCTCGATGGGATGCTGTGGACAAGCGGCCGTCATTCAGTGATTATTGATTACAGCAAGAACAGGGAAAATGAACAAATGATCAGCAGTGCTGAAGGTGATGCTCTGCCTCTCTGGCCTTCATTTGGACTAATTATAACTCAGCAGGACAGGCGGCCTTAATGATGTTAGAGCATTTTACAAGCTCGTTTTATTTATAAACCACTGAGCTCTGTGTTATTTACTGATACAACCTGCAGAGAGACGGCTGACAATAAATGACATGCATATAACCCTGGCATAAAATAAAAGAGGTCGATTCAGTCTTGACACTTTGATGGAGTCTGCTGTAAACGTGATGTAGATTTACAGCCGTGAGCGTAATAACCAGCCGCTGTGGGACGGATCATTAGTTATTCCACACCTTTACATCTGTGATCTCGTCTCTGGAGGGATTCAGAAAAACACCTGTATTGAAAGATCAATTGCATGACGGGGGATAATTAGGTTTGTCCCCAAATGCTACTCAATCTTACTTTGATGAGACTCATTGGTTCACAATTAATTATACTACTATAATTAATATATGCATCATAAGTATTCATTGCATTATATGCATTATACAAAGGAAGAATCAACACGTTTACTTCAACAGGCGTGCTGAAAAAAGAGAAACAGCAGGTCAGTTTGAGTGATGACAAATCAATGGCAGCCGATTCACACAGCCATCAAGCCAAACATCACACACGGCCTCCAATAAACCTGCCGTCTTCCAGCCAAGAGACGCCTCTCATGCTCTTCCAGAAACATTTAAAGGGAAAAATTAGCTCTTGGGTATCAATCGCAGCCCCTTTAATTGAGGTCGTTTAATGGGCTGACATTAGACTGAAGAACATTGAAGATCTCCATTGAAACTAAATCAGCTCAATGAGTCCAGGGCAGATCAATGTGTTTTCCTCAGGCAACATAAAGGAGGTTCATTATTCATGTTTTTTCCCCCCAAGCCCAACTCAAAATCAAACCTTTCTGACAAAACTGTTGAGAGTTTCAGTGCTCGCTGACTACATTGATGTAGATGATGAGTTTGTGGGGAAATCCTCCAGTGATCATGATTCCTGACACATGTCTATTGGTTTCTATTCACAGGTGCACGGCTGTGAACTTCATCTAATCCAAATCAAAGTGCAATTTTCACGCCAGGACATGAAACTGAGAGCAGATGAGCACTTGAGATATCTGTGGATATAAAATTCAAACCTATCAGTGAAAGTTAGCATGTGTAATGTTAAAGATTTGTGGCGATCGTTTTAAAAACAGCAACCACAGTTTGGCTTTTAAATAACATTTGCATTTATGCATTTAGAAGAGGCTTCTATCCAATGATACACAATAGAGAAGGATGAGCAATTTGTCACAGAGCCAGTCATATGCACAGTGTACAATGCCAGGTTTATTAGAAAGCGAGACTATAGGAAACAAGCCAGAGCAGAAGAAGAGGATGAGCTGAGTTTCTCATCTGTGACATTAAACGTGTTCCTGTAGCTCAAACACAGAGCATTACGATCACGGGTTTGATTCGCAGAGATTGCATGAACTGATCAAACATATACTGTATCTTGAATTCAGTGTAAGTCACTTCAGATGAAGCATCTGCCAAATGTAAATGATGCCACCGGAGCTGCTGACAGAGCAGAGCTTTGAACATTTCATAACCCTCAGAAATAATAACCTGTGAAACTACAGCATGTCACATTCACACAAACTCACTTCTGAATAAAAATCTAACCGTAGGGGAGATCTGTTCCTGTTGTTCAGGATAACTGGAAAACATTGGTCCGTAGGTCTTTCAGGAGACTCTCGTTCACATCGTCCCCTAAATATGATGGAGTTACAGTAGTCTTACATCATTCAGAGAAACTGTTCTCCAGCTGAATCGGTGGAGAAATGCTGAAAGAAGAGATTAAAACAGTCAGTACCTTCATGTTTAATGAACGGCAGTGTAATATGTTCTCAGGTTCAGCGTGACCTTTACAGAAGTAAAACCTGTTCAAGCTGTTCTGCAGTCCATCAGTACGTGTGTGTGTGTGTGTGTGTGTGTGTGTGTGTGTGTGAGTGAGTGTGTGTGAGACAAATGAGGACATAAATGTGTATAATGACAAAGGTATGACAGGTATTACAAGGAGAAGGTGACTTTTCAGGACATTACCCCATGTCCCCACTTTTCAAAACACTTATAAATCACACAGAATGGAGTGTATTGAAAATCTGAAATAGCACAAAGTCTCCTGTGAGGGGTAGGTTTAGGGGTAGGGTTGGTGTAGGGCAATAGAATATATGGTCTGTACAGTATAAAAACCATTACGCCTATGGAGAGTCCCCATAAAACATGGAAACGCAACATGTGTGTGTGTATTTAACCTCTGACATGTGTCAATCTCATATTTCTGTGAATCATGTTTGCTGCCCTTTAACTAATTCCTGTTGAGTGTTTGTTTGCGTCTGTTATTCAGAGCCGCAGGGCGATTCATTGATTGCAGGAATATAAAGCTATTGATTTCATTCCCTAGAGGAGCTTCCTGTGGAGGGACTTCAGATTGTTTCATGGGTGTGTGTGTGTGTGTGTAACGCAGCTGCCGTGACGGCATACTCAATTTCATAAGCCGGCTCTCATTCATCATGCAAGACGTGTGCTTCCAGTAATGAAGCATCAGGATTCAGCAGCAAAAGCGACAGAACGAGGGCAAAACGCTGCTGTGGCTCCATTCACAGCTTCCATCCGTGTTGCGTTGCCATAGGAACAATGCACAAAGGAGGATGAGGATGATGATGATATCAGAGTCCAGTGTGATATGATAGAGGGATCGAGGATGAAGCATTACGTCGCTCAGCGTTTGATTAAACATAAAGTCAAGTTCAGCGTATTTATATAGTGCATTGTTTCAAAGCAGCTTTACGGAAAATCATGAGGTTAATGTTTGTAATATCTTAACATTGTCATGCCTTATAGTCGCATTTATCAGATTCGGATAAACAATCAAGCGATTGAGATTTGCTCAACATCTCATCTTCAGT